TCATCATTCAACACTTTCACCACACTCACACATTATCACTGCTTTTGCAGAGGTGCTCAGAATACAACAGCTTAGAAGCATATACGTATAAAGATACACAACATATCCCTCCAAACTGCCAATATCCCAAACCCCTCCTTTAAAGTGCAGGCATTGTACTTCCCATTTCCAGGACTCAAGTCCGACTATATGAAAATAACCGGTTTCCTGAATCCCTTCACTAAATATTACCCTGCTAACACTCCAACAGATCGTCAGGTCCCAAGTATCATTCGTCTCCATTCACTCCTATCTAACACGCTCATGCACGCTTGCTGGAAGTCCAAGCCCCTCGCCCACAAAACCTCCTTTACCCCCCCTTTCCAACCCTTTCGAGGACGACCCCTACCCCTCTTTCCTTCCCCTATAGATTTATATGCTTTCCATGTCATTCTACTTTGACCCATTCTCTCTAAATGACCAAACCACCCCAACAACACCCTCTTCTGCCCTCTGACTAATGCTTTTATTAACTCCACAACCTTCTCCTAATTTCCACACTCCGAATTTTCTGCATAATATTTACACACACATTGCCCTTAGACAGGACATCTCCACTGCCTCCAACCGTCTCCTCGCTGCTGCATTTACCACCAAGCTTCACATCCATATAAGAGTGTTGGTACTACCATACTTTCATACATTCCCTTCTTTGTCTCCATAGATAAAAGTTTTTTGACTCCACATATACCTCAACGCACCACTCACCTTTTTTCCCTCATCAATTCTATGATTAACCTCATCCTTCATAAAAACCATCTGCCGACACGTTTAACTCCCAAGTATCTGAAAACATTCACTTCTTCCATTACTCCTCCTCCCCATTTGATATCCAATTTTTCTTTATCTAAATCATTTGATACCCTCATCACCTTACTCTTTTCTATGTTCACTTTCAACTTTCTACCTTTACACACATTCTCAAACTCATCCACTAACCTTTGCAATTTTTCTTTAGAATCTCCCATAAGCACAGTATCATCAGCAAAAAGTAACTGTGTCAATTCCCATTTTGAATTTGATTCCCCATAATTTAATCCCACCCCTCTCCCGAACACCCTAGCATTTACTTCTTTTACAACCCCCTCTATAAATATATTAAACAACCATGGTGACATTATACATCCCTGTCTAAGACCTACTTTTACCGGGAAGTATTCTCCCTCTCTTCTACACACCCTAACCTGAGCCTCACTATCCTCATAAAAGCTCTTTACAGCATTTAGTAACTTACCACCTATTCCATATACTTGCAACATCTGCCACATTGCTCCTCTATCCACTCTATCATATGCCTTTTCTAAATCCATAAATGCAATAAAAACTTCCCTACCTTTATCTAAATACTGTTCACATATATGCTTCAATGTAAACACTTGATCTACACATCCCCTACCCACTCTGAAGCCTCCTTGCTCGTCCGCAATTCTACATTCTGTCTTACCTCTAATTCTTTCAATTATAACCCTACCGTATACTTTTCCTGGTATACTCAGATTAAAAAAAAAATTAGAAAAAAAAAAAAAGGTATATCAGCAACACTTCTGCAAGCGGCAGTTCTTCTTATTGCTGTCAGGTGAGCGACAAGTGCCGACTTGGTGGCCTTATATCTCCGTAAGTACTGACTCAAGATTTTTTTTTTTTTACATTATGTAAACAAATGTCCTCTTTATTAAAAAAAAAAAAAAAAAAAAAAAAAAAAAAAAATTTTTTTCCAAAATATTGAGAGTGCTGGGCGAGAGAATGCAGATCTATGTTTGGGCAGTTAAGGGGTTAAGATTCTTGGAATCATCTACAATAAAATTTACAAGCACCATCAGACAAAATAGTCACGTTCCCTATAGCAGCCCCTATAGCATGCATCATTTTAAAGCAAAGAAAACCTAATGTGAACTGGTAGGTCATTGCCAGTATCTTCCCTAAACTTAACCCTTGATGCACCTGATTCCTGCACAATACCATTTCATTACTGAAGCTGTTTGTGTCTGTTATGTACAAAGCTTGCACAACATTTCACCCACAGATGGAACACTGTACTATGGACCCCAATGGAAATAAGTAAGGACCCCAGTGGAAATAAGTCACTTTGACTTTTTTGGATTATCCTAGGTAATCTACACATATGCTGCTATGTATGATAATTTATGTAACTCTATTTATATGTACCTGTACCTAAATAAACTTATTTCATAAAGAACGAGTCTACAACCAATAAACAACCCATCTAAAATTAGTGCATCACCACATGCCAGCTTTATTCCTCCAGTTTGCAACATTGAAGGACATGTGATGGAAGGTGGAATTAGCTACAGTTACTCCATCCCTTTGGGATGCAATTTTGTACTTTTGCTTTTTTTAAATCTAAGACTTGATAAAACTTGCCAAGCAGGCAAAACTTATCCGAATAAATTTTCAAATTACTGTTTTTTATGTCTATCATGTAAATAATCTACATTATAACTGGCAAAGGAATAAAAAGCATGAATAAATTTACTGATGATACAATAATAGGCAGAATAGTAGAAACAAGTTATGGATGTGGTCCAAAAAAAAGGTCAGATGCAGTGCAATGTAGAAAAGTTTAAAGTCCACATAGAAGGCTACTAGGAAACTGGAGAAGCAAGCTGGGATAAAAAAAAAAGGGAAGGTATTAGGATGGAAACAAACCTTGTAGAGCCCCACAAGGATTGGCTTTTGTATCCCATACTGTTTCTGGTGTATATTAATGACCAGACATCATTAATTAATTAAAATACTCTAAAATACATCTTTGAGGATGATGCCAAAATATTATGTAATGAGAAAATGAACTGAAAAAGATGAAAGAAAACTGTAGAAACTCTTAAAACAGATTTAGGAGGTCTAATAAATGGTTACTAGAAGCTAATCCTAGCTAAAGCAAAGTTACGAAAGGAGAAAGGAGATGGAAGACAGAGCATCATATATGAGCAACCTTTATACCAAACCTGTTCACTGAATTGCATATAAATAATATACCATCAGTAGCACAGGCTAAACTCATAGATATTGGAGTACCATTCAAGAACCTAAACATTATCTTGTTTAAAACACACTTTACCTAACACGTGCGGCACATTCTCAAGCATGAATTGCTTATGATGACCCCTCATGAAGTAAGACATAAAAAAGTGAAACTCTACAAAGGAGGTCTGGTGCCTGAGTTTAGGGAAATGAGCTAATCAGAAAGAATGAGAGAACTAGGCCTTCTGTCACCCTGGAAGAATGAAGAAAAAAGTTAGAGATCATGATATACCAAATACGTAGTCTGAGAGCACAGACAAGGTAAACAAAGATAAGATCTTTACCAGAGATGAACAAGATGGTTAAGTGGGAAATTACACAAAGGAGGATATCAGGAAATATTTCTTGAACATGAGTAATAAGGAAGTGAAATTAATTAAATAATAACACAGTAGAAACCGATTCCAGAGAAAGAGACTTAAAAACTCTGACAAACTCAAACAGATAATTACAAACATATACACAATGCTCTCATCAGAATACATTTACCTATTTCTTAATATTTACAGGTACAATTAATTTTCAATAGTGGCAAAATACAGTACATCTAACCCACTCAAAAACATGCCCCACTTTTCATGTACAGTGGTACCCTGAGTTTCAGCCATAATTTGTTCCAGAAGGCTGTTCGAGTGCCATTACCAAACGAATTTGTTCCTATGAGGAATAATGTAAATTAGATTAGTCCATTTCAGACCCCCAAAAATACACTTACAAAAGCACTTACAATAATACATTTACATAATTGTTCGAGTTGGGAGCTGTACGAAACTCGGGGTACCACTGTATTTATGTGGCACCAAAACTTTCTCCCTTGCTCCAGTTTTTAAAGCCCTCTACACAACCTGAATAAAAACATCTTCTAACCATACGCATTATATTACACTGGCATAATAAATGCATCAAGATTTTTGTTTAAGTTTTACCATAACTCACATATATTACTGGTGGGCTGAGGATATTACTGATTTTTAGAGCACCAAATTAAGTAAACCAAGAACAACCTGACTGGATATGCCATTAAACCTAATAATTAAGTTTAAACACAAAAGTTTTGGTGTGTGCAAAACTTAACATCTGCAAGAAAAGTGAGAATATTTTAGATAAACCTAAATAAAGAAGATCATCTCCAACAATTCTCTGGAACAAAGTGCTGTAAGAAAATGTCATATGAAATTTTTATAACAAGTTTGATAATGTCTCTTGAAAGCAATACTTAGATGTTCAGCTTCACTTTAAGCAATTACTGAATTCTCAGAAAGTTTTTTTTTTTTTAACTATGCAAACCATGAAAAATATGATCAATGTAATTACCTTCTTGAATGGCTAATTATATTATTTTCTATCAACCTCACATTTGTCATGTACAAATTATAAGTTTAATAAAATACATAGGGTTGGTAGAAGGTAAAATTACTTTAAGCCCCCCCCCCAAAAAAAAAGCGAATGTCATTTCCAGAGTTGCCACCTATTATAAACTGAGATAACTTTAGCTAAGTTTCAAACATTGCCCTGAAGACTCTCTACATTGTCATGCATCTAAATCTAAGCAAATGCAGTATAGCACCTAAGAACAATATGTAAAATGAAAGAGCTCACTTTATTATTATTATTATTAATTTTATTATATATAAAACTTAAATATCGACATATAGATTTCTAGATCATTAACTAATTTTAAGGAAAATGACCCTTTACAGAAGTTTCAGATTTCCAGAAATAAACTGAGAATTCTGGATTCTTCACAATAGGTAATATATTGGCAATTAAGTAAACACCCTATATTTTGACATATGAAAGCACTTAGAATAGTCAAGTTTTAAAATGGCTTAGCATCAAACTTAAATTTAAAAGAAAGATATGCCAATATTTATCTTGTCTCACCAATATTTAAAAAAAAAAAATTGATAAAAACTCACCCTGGTTCTGCTTTCTTGTCCTGAAGTACTGGGGGTCTGTCATCAGCTGGGCCTGGTCCACTAGGGTATGGGTTTATTCCACCTGGTCCATTTGGTCCAGGAGTGTAGGGACTTGGTCCGCTTGTTCCACTCTGGTAAGGACCAGATCCTCCTGGTCCTACAGGAGTATATGGGGTGGAAGCACTCAGTCCCCCAGGTCCATTAAAAGGGCCTGGGCCATTGGGGTAAGGGCCTGGTCCATTTCCAAATGTAGCAGGACCTGAAGGAAATGGTCCAGGACCACTTGTTGGTTGGGGATACTGAGCCCAAGGGTACTGCCCTCCAGGAGGATACTGGCCTGGAGGATACTGCTGGTTCTGCTGTGGCTGTTGAAGAGGTGGTGGTCCTTGCTGATACTGTGCATCAGCCAGACCTTGAGTCAGAACTTGCTGTGGAGGTATCTGCTGAGGAGGTCCTTGAGGGATAGGTCCTTGTTGGGGTGGATTATGCTGAGGTGCACCATGGTGGTAATGAGGATCACTGGAAGCTACAAGCTTAGGAAGTCCTTCCTGGGGTGGTCCATGATGATACTGTGCTGGCTGATGTGTTATCTGTTGATAAACTGATGATGGTACTTCCGTTGGTTTGTTGGCATGATACTGTTCTTCTGGCAATCCTCCTTCGGGATTTTTCTGAGGTGACTGATCTTGTGAATGCATTTGCCCCTGATACTGTCCCTGGTGGTACTGCTGCTGAAGCTGTCCTGGCTGGGTCTGTCCCTGAAAATTTTGTCCTTGAGGGGAACTTCTCTGTTGTTGGCTAGGTGAAGACTGAGGGGCTTCTGAATGACTGTTAGCCTGTTGTGTTTGATAACGGTGATCACCATGAGGTTGTGAAAGGTGCTCTGATCTTTCTGGAGATGGTTGTCCAGTCCTCTGCATCTGGGGTCCTGTGTTGTGTTGTCCCCCATAGTAATATGTGTAAGAATTATGTGGACTTGCTGTTTCTGTTGACTTTACCTCTCCTTTGATGAGGGTTCCTGGTGATCGATTTTCGCATTCCCTGGTCTCTCCTGGTTGTTGTTGCTGACTTTGTTGGTCCCCAAAATTACCATATGGTTGTGGTGGCTGTTGCCCTGGTAGTTGTGATGACTGCTGCGACTGTGATTGTGAAGTGGGTGGTTGTTGCTGCGAAGCTGGGATACTTGAGTGAACTGCCTGAAAACAAAAAAAGTTAGGTACTAATTATGTTTATTAACCCTTTGTTTAATTTCATCACAAATATTTAGCTTTTTTTGCATTTCACTGAGATGCATATGATAAACCAATATGCTCAAAACAAGTAATTACTGTACTGCCACAATGTTACCCACTTTTATTAGAATAATACAATTGGATACAATTTATTCACAACTGGTACTTGCCAATGGGTTTCTTATCCTATCACAGACAATGCAATACTCAAAATATGCAAATGATATAAGCAACAGGATAATAACCTTTTCATATACATATAAAAGACACTCAAGATTCACACTAATCAATAAAAAAATAAAACCATTAACAATACCTAAAATTTTTAATATTTACTAATTTCTCATCACTTCTGTAAAAAAAAAAAAATTTAAAATTTAGAATAAAAAAAAAAATTGTTTCAGATTTACAGGAATTTTGCTTTGTACAGGTTGACCATCACTCATCCGGCATCACTGGTACCTGTAGGGTGCCGGATTAGTGATTTTGCTGGATTACAGAGTGGTTAGGTTAGAATACACTTATCCCAATAGCGATATTTATGCATCAGTGATTTCACCCACTTTATGCCCTATTTTTGACCCATTCCATTGTTCCAGTCTACCAAACTCATAGGTATTTTGTTAGTATTCCTTCTGTTCTGTCAACTGAGTACAGGAAACCTCCCATTTACCTATTTCAACTACCCAATAAAGTGGTCAGAAATTGATAATTTGGCCGGTTTCACACAAATTTCAAGTGATGCCAATATCAAAATAGGATCCAGAATAAACAATACAGACATTCCTAGCACTACAATAACATTTTCTCTGTTCATCAGTCATGTCTCCAGGCCCATCTTATATTATGCTTGCTTTCCATTTTGAATTTTTATTCACACAAAAAATAGAAGATTTACTGTTATGCAGACTACTGCATTATTGTAATAATTGTATAAATAATGCCAACCCACTTATGACTGCGTATTAGACCGGCCGGTTGGACACGTATTGGATGGCAACATCATTTGTTTACTCTTGAATATGGGCAAAAATCGAACATTTCCACTACCTTGAGCTCAATTTTGAGGTACTTTTTGGGGTGAAACCAATCAAAATTATATCTATTTCTTTAGGCCCAAATTTACCGGTCACAGCTTACGTGAACGAGCTAAGCTCATGGAGACCAACAGTGGCTTCAAAGCCACCTTATCTTTTATGGACAATGTACGGTGTATGTGTCTTACACAACAAGAAGCATTTATTTGTTGGAACCATGGCAAGGGCTAAAGGTGAGGAGGTTATAACAATAAATGGTGAAAAAGAAACTTGAATGACTTATCCAGCAAGTAGCACCACCAAACAGTAGCAGCAGGTTGGTGTGGTGACCCCGGAAATTTGAAAATATGCTAGCCGAAATTAGTACCAGATTACTGATGGAACCGGATTAGTAATGGCCAACCTGTATTTAAATTGTGTGATAATGTACATTTTAGGTAATAATACTAAATCAGTGATCTTTCTTTAAGTGTCACACGGGTATTGGAGACATGGGTACTGGAGACATCCAAAAAGAGTTGGTAGGCGAGTGGGAATGATATATTGAGTGTTAAATATCTAGGAAGCATCTGAGAGCAAGTTACACTGAAGTGAATGGAAGCAAGTGGTCTTTGGGATTTAGCATGCTGATGATGGAAATATCTGCAAAATAATTAAGGGACACCAGTTAGATGGACTTGAATTTGGGGAGATAAGAAGTTCAAAGGTTGCCATTTGTAAGTCAAGCATGTATGTGATCCAGTGGGTCATCCTTGGATCATGATGTATGTGTTGCTCTGGAAAGACAGCATGGGAACAAGTGATGGTTACACATTTTCTTCTTTTAGAAATCCTCTTCACATTAACATTACTGTTTTAATATACAGCACAGTTTCATTATTAAATAATCATTACATTTATTATTATTATCTACATACAACTTAATTACAATAAAGTATTTTAAACTTAGCATTCAGATGATCTAACTTCAATTATACAATATCAGGTAGTGTAGTTTTAGTCTGCTCAAAATGCTCTATATGCCCAGAGATTTTATCAAAGTATGAAATAAATGTCACCTAATTTTGTAACAGTCATGTATATTTTGAAAATAAAATTTGCATGTTTGCTACCTTGACTTGCTTCTCCAGCTTGCAAAGTAGCCATCTAAGCAACACATTATTAACTAAGTTCTGTTTTTTAGTTTAGCAATATGCAGTCCACTCATCCACCTCTTACTTATCTGAAACTGTTATAATATTAATAATAATAACAGTTTATTAGGACATGATACATAGTTGTACAAGGTATTATAGTAGTTGGGTGTACATGTCAAAAGCCCCTTGTATGCAGAGCATTATGGGCAGGCTTAAAATTAACTTAAGATTATTTAAGCTATAATAGATTTAATGGTAACAGTTACAGTAGACAATTTACAATATCAAGTACAATTGAGTATTTTAAACAATGAATTTGAACATTTCAATTTTGAAGCATTATAGTTTTACAATTTTGTAACATTACAGTGAATAATATAACAAAATGATCAATTTACTAAATGTAGTCGTACAATTTATTAATCAGATCTAATCAAATCAAATCAATGATCTGTGGAGCAGTAACAGTTCATATGGTCATCAGTCTATTATGTCCCCTATTAAGTTTGTAAAGCATGACCTTGGTTCATCAAGTCTTTTTCTTGTTATGCTCATTAACAACACTGATATGTAGGTTAGGGATTGTGTTACTTTTCTGGAAACACTGGCATCATGCCTACCATCCTCCATCTTCAATGATTTACTAAAGTTCTGTACAAGTGACTAGCACAATATTTCACCTCTTCATAATCATCTGATACTGATGGTTTTGAAGTACATATCTGGTTCCATTAGGAGTCTCTTCTTTCCATCAGTCTTTTATTGCATGACAATTCGACTTACTTTATTCTCTCTCCTCTCTCTGGTACTTTGCTTGCTCATTTGTAAACACACTATGGACTCTTCTGGTGTGACTGATGTATTATCTCACATTCATGGGAGAGGGAGAGTGCTAAACCTGTAGGGGTCATACATCCTAATGGGAAATCGGAAGTACAGTGGAACCTCAAATATTGAACTTTCTTCGTTCCAGACAGCTGTTCAAGTGCCGTTACCAAACAAATTTATTCCCATCAGGAATAACGTAAATTAGATTAGTTCATTTCAGACCCTCAAAAATATACTTATAAAAGCACTTATAAAAATACACTTACATGATTGGCTGAGTTGGGAGCAGTTCGATATTTGAGGTTCCACTGTAATCAGGTTCATTCCAAGGAAAGGGAGGAGAAGTACAATATCTTAGAAGATGATTCCCCTCACTGCATCAAGGCACCCTTTAAGACATTAATTTCTGGTTCTCTTGCTAGCTTCTTTGGTATTAAGTGCTCTATTTACTCAAGGGTCACTTTTTTCACTACTGGTTGAACACTTTTACAATTCTTTCAAGTTCGATATAATCGGACAACCACTATACCGGATTCAACATTCCACTAAATTTTTATCAGAAAATGTCTTAATCCTTCATTGTGATATTTTTTGTACATTCTCTCTCATTCTTCAATTTCCCTCTTCATTAGTTTCACTTCCACCAGGTAGCAAAATGTTTACACAGATTTCGTGCTCCCAGGAGCATTCCATATTAAGTTCTCGCTACTGGTCTTGCTGAAGGTGAAGACGAGGTCTAACTCTGCCAGCCCATCACTAGTACTTGATCTTGAGAGATGTTTAGTCAAACTGCCTTAGGAAGTCCTACAATATCAAGCCATGTAGCTTGCTCCTTACCACCTATCACTATTTCCATGGTTGACATTCCCTGTTACTGCTAGTTTTACCCTTGCTCTCTCTATTCCTGACACAATTTTCTCATTTTTTTCTGTTATATTCATGTCCAGGTCATCCATTATTTCATGATGGTGCCCACATTCTCCAATATCATCCACAGAATTTAGTTCAGTTATATAATTTGAGAATTTATGGCAGTCTAGAATTAACATACTGCATGCATCCTTAAACCTTTTACTGGTGACATCCCCAAATTTAAAGCTCCTTCTGTGTTGCCAGTTTTGAAAATAATAAAAAAATTTGCCTTCAAAAATGGTAGAGAATTTTTTCTAAAAGTAATGACATCAAAAATGCAAGACTTAATGTATGGTAATACTTATGGAGTTACATAGGTGTGAAGTTGGAGGATGGGAGCACTTCACGCATCACCAATTTTGACCATTTTGAGGTCTATTTTTGACTAAAGTCAGTGTTGAAACCAACCAATTTCTGGCTATTTCGTTAGTGTGCCTTCTGTTCTCTCCATTGATCAGCTATGATAACTACTATATACAGCACCCAGAATTTGTTAATTTAGCCAATTTTATGCTATTTTTCAACAAATTCCAATATAAAAACAACCAATTTCATAAAAAAAAAAAAAAAAAAAAATTGTAGGCATTCTGGCCACTAAAGCAACCTTCCCTCCATTCATTAATCATGTCCCTCGGCCACCCACATAAAACGCTTGCTCTCCATTTTGAATCACTCACACACGCACACAAAAAAAATGTTTTTCACTATTTCTCGGAAAATAAACCATAATCAAGAATGCTTGGTCACGGTTTAGGACACCTCAGTAATTAAAGCAACCTATAAAAGATAGATTATTTCTGCCATTTTGAGGACTATTTCAAACCACTACTGGTCTGAAACCAATTAAAGTCATCTCCATTTCACTAGTATGTCTTCTCAACTATTGACTGGCACCAAGAATCAGATGCTCCAAGTCACTACGTATTTTATAAAAATTCAAATACAAGTTCAGAGTTAGCTGTTCCCATTATATCTTGCCTGAGACAGGATTGTTCTTTATACTGTATCCACACACCTCATAGACATGTTCTCTTGTGTCTAGGCCAAAATT